TGATCACTTCTTCAGGTGTAACACGTCCAACAGACCCTTTTGTGTACAAGCGGCAAAAACCCCATCTCTGGGTCTCTGGTCGTAGAACACAGGCATTTTAGGCAGCATATCTTTCCTACATTCTTTATCAGTGGTTAGTTCAATGTATGGAGGAACTTCATTAAGAGCTACTGAGTCTTTGATTCGTAAGAGATAAGCAACATAAGTCTCAGGGGGTAGTATGTCCTCTCTTACCCAACCCACTTGCTTCCATTTAGATACTTTTAAGCAATGGAATCCCCTGTCCTTATTATAACTGTCACTACTAGTTTGTGGTATCCTTGCATACAAGTTTAGTTTTTCCTCTTTAATGGCATCGTGGTGCATAGAAATTATAACTATTTGAGGACCAAAGTGTTTCCTAGAATCAAAAAATACAGTTCTTCGAATCTGCATGTAGAGAGAAAGAGAAAGGAAATACATGACAGTAAACTGAAGTGAACTAAGTAAACATGTAAAATACACATGTCAGCCTTTCGTGATGCATTAGTGTATCTGGCATATCATGTTATGATGACAAAATTCAATGTATGTAAATTATGTTTTTCTCTAATGATAATAATGAGAAACCACAAGGGAATTAAAGTCTATCTTGAGTTCCATCAATTTAGCACTTAAACTTGCTAAATTCATTACAGACTGTTCACAGTCTACATGTACACATATCTACATGTCTACGATTATCTAATTAAAGTTTGAACAAGTTGGTGTAAAATAAGCATGTATGTTGGCACAACTGCCTTTGGGGCTTGTTTATTTTAAATCTCTTACCAGATGTGATGAGCATTAAGTTAAACTTACTATTGTCATCTTTTCTGGATCCAAGTCTATCCAGAGGTCACTGTGGCTTGATGGATGATCAGGAGAAATTTTTTGGGATAGGGAACCAGGACTGACGGCCTTCTTTTGATGCGCATAAACAACTGGATCTATCACTGGTAGCTGCTGTTGTCTCCTTGTTGTTTGCGGATCCAGGTGACGCCATAAGGGTACCAATAATATCACAAAAAGCAGGAGGAAAATAGCGAAGAGGATGAATCTCCTTGTACACCTGTCTATCTGCTGCATAATAGATGAAAGTAAACTAACTAGATCTACTAGATAGATAGTAGATCTAGTACAATAGTAACTGCTGTAGCTACAAAAGGTCGTACTGTACTCGTCTCGTACAGCTGCGGCGGCCGGCGGGGCCGTACCATACTACGTACGTAGTCTATGGTTAGAGTATATAGGCGTGGCAAGAGGAGTGGTTCGACTTGAAATAAAAATGGGGGAAAGAAAAGTATTAAATGTAAGCTTTAATAGATTATGTTTAGACCCACTTTACTTCTTAATTCTCTATGTATTCCATATTATATTTTTTTAAATTTCTTGTCTCTCTAGAAATACTATCCTCCTGATTTAGAGAATTTCAAACTACCCAAGCTAAACCCAAACCGCTGTAAACAGTATGTCGTTCGATTAATGATACCATTTACCATGAGATGCAAGACGTGTGGTAATCACATATATCACGGAAAGAAATTCAACGCGAGGAAGGAGACAGTCGAGGGTGAGAAGTACCTTGGTATGCCAATCTTTCGATTCTACATACGCTGTCCTGTGTGCCTCTCAGAGATATCATTCAAAGTAATTTTAATTCATTATTTAATGGCTTGAACATGTTCATTGCCAGTAGCACTATTTTTTGTAATTAATTTAATTTAATTTTGTTTTTGTTGGAATTAAAATCGAGACATTTTTC